ACCATATGGGAGTCCATGATAATTGAAAGAGTATTGTAAGACTACGATTTGGCCCGTATCATTGAATGGGATGAAATAGATCGAAAGTGATTTTAAGACCATAGGAGGACCATAACATTCACATGGTTAAAATAGACCGTTGGGCGAGGCCTGCTGGCTGAAATAGGTCGTTGCAGGGATGATTGTAAGGCTGTGGGGGGATCACAACATTTATTTGGGTTGAAACAGACCCTTCATTGTTTTTTAGTCGTTCTTTTGATTAAACGTAAGGGTTGTTAGAGCCGTGTTGATGTATAGGCTAGTTTAGTCTTTGTTTGTTGGGCTTTTGTTTAAGGTTTCACTTTTGCATCTGAGTGTGAGGTTTTCAGCTACGGTGGTTGGTCGTGAATTCTAATCTCCAGTTATCAGTAAGACGATGGGAGGCCGAGAGGGGGGAAGTCTTGGACTGATCAAATCTGCGAGTTTTTGGTCAGCATGGTTGATGTATGGGGTGAATTCATTTTCCTGGAAGTCAAGCACCATTTCAAAATTTTCAAATTATATGTGATAATTGAGTGTCTCTCAATGATGGAATGTTGCAGCGTGTGGGTATTCATTTCTTCATTGGTTCGCGTGCTTATCGTTGAAGATTGATTCAGATTTTGGTTTCAAAAAGAGGATGTCAGTTTAGGGCTTTGTTCCGGTGCTGCGATGGATGAGATTTCGACATTTGAAAGTTTCTGCTCGGGAATGGATCATACGCATGATATTAAAATCCTTGTGATGGTTATTGTAGATTTTGGTCCTCAGGGATGTGTCGACTCATACAGAAGGGTGTGGACTTGGAAAACCCACAGGGATTTGTTTTAAGAGTAATTCATACGAACAAATTTCGAGGACGAAATCTAATTTAAGTAAGGGAGACCTGTAACACCCATTTCAAGAATGGATCAGTTTAAGACTTAAATGGGGTAAAAGATAAGGTTTTTAGGGAAAAAATTATGCCACGACATGGTGTGTTGATGACAACAACGTGGCATGGCACTTCAAATCAAAAGCGTGTCCGGATGGACATCACGATGTGGCAAGAAGGATGCCACGACGTGGTGGCTGCTTCAGCCCGAGCCCAATATTTTTAGGGTTTCTCCCATATTTAAGGACCTTAACTCTTGGATTATGTCATTTCCTTCAGGCTTCATCTCCCCATTTCAAAACCCTAGCCTCTACTCCTGTATTTGAAATCTTTGTTGGTGTTTTGTCCATTTGAAGGTTGAAGGAAGACTTTGTTGAGCAAAGGATCAACTAGCAACTCATCTCCATCTTTTGGTGCATCTTCTGGACTTTTGTAAGTCTCAAAGTTCTCACCTTTATGGTTCACCCTTTGTAGATATAGGTTTTGAACTCATTTTACTTCATGATATGTTAATATGAATGGATGTTTTTGATGAAGTTGGCAACTTTATCACTACTTAAGGTCCCTAAGTCATCATATGTTTCAGATCTAGACTTTCATGTTAGTTAGTGCCATGCATGGAGTTATGACTCCATTTCTTACCATTTTGACCTAGTTTTGGGAGAGACATGCATGGTACATGCATGTCCACCAAGCAAGGATTTTCATGATTCATTTGAGGGCAAATAAGCCTTCTAGAAAGTTTAAGAAAAAGACTTAATAAATTAAGTTTTTAATGAGAAAAATGGAATTTCTGGCAGAAACCACGATATGGCTATGGAGGGCCCATGATGTGGTTGTATCCTGTAGGTCGACTGTTTTGTCCTGCCATGCCTACGACGTGGCTAAGATTTCTCCACTTCGTGGTGAGAATTGACTTGGTTGACGGTTGATTTTTGACCAGTTTGACCATGCGTCAAACTTGGAGGTTTTGGGTTGAGGATTAAGGATTTATCTTTGTTTGATGTTAGTTGGTTCACGTGATTGATTAATGTGAGGAGTGAGAGTGGTGTTGAGCTTCTTCGGTTCTACGATCCAAGTGAGTTTCTCACTATGCCACATATGACATTGTATATCCTTTGCATGATAGGATAAAGGTACTGTTAGGGTACGAGTATGCTAGTTGACTAGAATAACTCCTTGTTATGCATGTGCAGTTTAGGACACTTGGTGTCATGGTATGCTAGAATTGTAGCGTCTTACATGTTGATTGTATGATACGGTTGGTTTGAGTAATGTAGGACATTTAGTATCATGATATGCTAGACTGATAGGGTCTTTCCTGTGGACTATATGATATTATTAGGTGTCATGGTTGGTTAGGGTAATGTTTGTAATGGTTGTAGGTGGTTAATTTAGATAGCCTGAGAACTCTTGGTCTAAAACCTTATTGCATGGTTCTTGTTTGATTTATTGCTTTCTGGTGGACCGTATGTTTGACTGTCTATCTGATCTCTGACCACATATGACTTTATGTATTGTTTTGAAGACCAAGATCTGGCCCCTGGCATTGACTTGTTATATATGTTGGGCTGGTCCTGTTATATGAATTAGGGTTGGGTCCATTATGTATGTTGGGTGGGGACCGTTATATGAGTTAGGGATGCCCCCTTTATACTCTTTGGGTTGAGACCGTTATGTATGTTTGGGCTGGGCCCATTATGTATGATGTATGTTTGTGATAGGGAGAGTAGGTAAGTCGGATTTAGGGCCAAGGACTTTGTGTGGATGCATTGTATATGTGATGAAATATGTGGTATAATGGGGAACTCACTATGTTTTGTGCTTACAGTTGCGGATAATTTTTTTTGCAGTTTGTTCGTGAGAAGAGCTCGGCGGGACTGTACACACGCATCAAAGATAATAATTTCCTTTGTTCTTTAATTCAACTTTGATATTATGGTTTCAAACAAATGAATGTCACTTATTGTTTTTAAGTTAAAGGTTTTAATCGGTTAACCTATTTTCAAATGAAAATTCTCTTTGTAATTTTTGGGACATTACATCCCAACGAAGATGCATAGTCATTATCTTCTTATCTCATGGTAATATTTATCTGATACCACATGTATACAACAAAAACAAAAGTAGATTTAATTATGGTGTTGATCAAATAATGCTTTCAGATTACAACATTAATCTAAAATCTAATCGAACTTCATGAGAAGTACTGAAATTACAGTTACATTGTTGTTAGTTATAGATCAAATAAATCTCTTACCAACGAAATAGATACTAATGAATTTCAATAAAAACATAGAAATATATGCTAAATTTCAAAGACAGCTTAAAAATGAAGAGGGATAATGAAAATAATTTATGTTCAAATTAGAAACATTATATGTATATATTGTATCTGGGATAAAATTCCACATTCGTTGCTTTACCGTTTGGTTAACATCCAATTGTAGCATTGTACTTCAAAAGTACAATGCTATAATTGTATTTTCTATAATATTTAGAAGTACATGAGCCACCCACACAATTTCGTGATATTACATGATATTATTGTATGTTGGCATTTTAAAACTATTATCTTAATGTTTGTTTATTAGTAACACACTAATACCAAATCGAGGTTTATACATTTATTTATTCCTTTTTCAAGTTTGTTTATTCTGACTAATTTCTTTATTTAACTCTCATGTAGTGCTTTAAGTCCATTAATTTTCATATTGTTCATCCAAGTTTCATACTAATTGAATGGTCTTTCTTTTTTCATTTAGTTCAAAACGAAAATGATAGATCTTTAATCATCATATTTACCTTGTCATTTTTAATAAAAAATGATCATTTTTAAAAAAGTTACAATGTTAAAAGTAGTTGATCGTTAGTTTGAGCTTAAATTAGAATGCTATATGATTGTATTGACATGTAGAGAAAGATACTAAAAGGAACGCAAGAGTTGCAAATATAATTGGTTTTGGGAGCTTTTTGAAGTACTGATTACATGTATGTTTATTGTTTTATAGGGAAAAATAATCCCTAGAGTACTCCCATGTCTGTAATATAGAATATGATAGGAAGAAGAAGATCATGAGAAGGTGGCCATAAAAAATATGCATCATTTCTATCATCAGGTCAACATGAAAGGACATGGTAAGGGAATAAATTATCAACTCTTAACCCCTTTTGCTCTTTCTTTTGCCCCTCTGTCATATGCATCGATCTTCATATGTTAGTGGTTTCTAAAATGAGTTTAAAGTTTGACAGAGAGTCGGTTGTTTTTCAGATTTGTGTAAGCTATCTGAGATGCCAAAAATGCTAAATCAGTCATTTTATTTTTATCTAAAATACATTGCGAAAATGATAATGTTGCAAGCATGGGATTTGTGAATGTTGGTTTTGAAAGTGAGTATATGATATTGAATAATGAGAATCAGGCTATCAGTTATAATAAAATGCAATACATATAATGTTAGGATTAGTGTACGAGAGAGTTTGATTATTTAAGGAAGTAATAGATTGGAAAATGACATCTAAGTAAATTTACTCTACATATGAGAATAAGTTTTGTTGCCGTTAGCATAAATCTGGTTATTCAAAATTGAAAATTTAACCACTAAACAATCTTACGATCATAAGTAGGAATAGTTTAATCAAAGTGTCAAACATTATGGTGAAATAATAATTTCATATTGGTGTATATTTATTTTAAAACAAAGTTATAAAGTTACTCACAAAACTAATATTTTTAGAAATTTATAATTTTTTTTGCAAATATACCATTAATCTTACGGTTTCAAATTATAAATATTTTTTTTATAATGACACGGATTTAAACCTGGTTATGAATAATAAGACGGTAACTCTACAAAAGTTAAATAAAATTTAATAAAAAGTTTGATTTGATGCTCACTAACCTTGTCAGACTGTGATACGACGTGGTAATTAATTCTATAGCATATCCCGTTTGAGAAACCCGCGAAGTGGAGTTCAACAGCCGGAATCCCTCTTTTGAATCCATCAGCATACCCCCACTGTTTTCGAAACCCCAATTACACCCACTGTTTTTCTTGAGTCTCGAGAAGTTTAGTGTTTATTGATGACGACAACGATTAAGAACAACATGAATCTTGTTGAGGCCGAAGATGATGGTGTTGGAGGTGAAGAACAAAACGAGGTTTCTGAATCTGAAGCAGAAGGGACGGAGAAGAAGAGTAGTAGGAAAAGAGGTCCGGACAGGAACACTGATACTGCTTCTAAATCTCAAGAGAAGAAAAATAGGCCATGTGTTCGTCAGAAGCAGGCTGTTTCTATAGAAGAAGAAAGGGAAATGACGATTATTGTTGTCTTGTCAAGTGATGATGAAAGTGAGTCCCCAGAAGAAGCAGAAGAAGGAATGGCTGATACTCACACTGCTCTTAGAACTCCTGATGGAGATGGGAACGGTACCAATAAACTAATAAACAACAAAGAGGACAAAAAAGAGAAGTGGAAGCGCAACATAAGTACTAGGAATGATGGTATCAATCATGCCGATATATTCAATCATCAGGATGATGTTGGAGAGAATGGAGGGAAGAAGAAACACATGCAGTCGGCTCCGCAGATAGAAAAGACTGGTGAAGAAGATCAAGATAAGAGAAGCCAGGCAGATATCAACTCAAGCAGTAAGGATGGACCAAAGCCAAAGTATTATGCCAAGAACATGGTTCGTGATAAAAATGTAATATTCTGATTTCTGTCATCCTGGTGTCTCTCTTCTTTTATTCAAAGAAGCCTGCTTGATTGCTTTTGGACATATTTGATCTAACATCATCTCTTTGTTTTAGGGAAATCTAAATAAGGTAGTGTCAAACATGTGCCATCAGTGTCAAAGGAACGACAGGGGACGAGTTGTTCAGTGCCAGTAATGCACTAAAAAGCGTTACTGTGTGTCTTGCATGAATAAATGGTATGATTTGTCAAAATATACTCTTCCTTTTTAGCTGAGCAATGAATTTAATTAATGCTTACTTTGCAAGGTTCAGTCTAATCTACTTGTCACATTGCTTTTTAACGTTTGTGGGCAACGATGCATTTGCATTAGGATTACTAAATCCTTGGCCACCATTGATCTTTGTGATTGCTAAATTGATGTCTAATTGTAGAAATTGCCTGGTGATTATGTACTTGGAACCATCTATATTGACTTAACACGTACTATGCTGTCCTCTGGCAGCTTTGTTAATAATCTATTTGGAATTCGCTCTTCTTTTACAGCCTTTTCATCTTATTCTCTTTGTTTATCTGTCATGTAGGTATCCTAACATGACAGAGGAGATGTTTGCTGAGCGTTGCCCTGTTTGCTGTGACAATTGCAACTGTATATCTTGTTTGCGCAATGTGCACCCTAAAGTTGGTTCCTGCAGCTCATTTTCTGTTATGGAACTTATTGTTCTTCTTTCTATTACCCAATTAAAATATGCAATACTGAAATTGGTCGTGATTTTTAGGTCAAAGAGAAGATTGATTTCAAACCTAATCATGATCAGAAAGTTCGATACTCTATTTATATCCTACATGTGCTTTTTCCATTCCTGAAGCGTCTCAATGAGGAGCACATAAAGGAGACAGCAATAAAGTCTAAAATTCAAGGTATTTCGGTTGTTAGTAGGTGTTTTTGCTGTAGTCAAATAATTAGTACTTATCTCTTTTTCGTTTGTTAAGGTTATCTTTATTTAAAATTTGGAGTATCTAGTAGTATCTTTTATTTTGGGATAGGATTGTCGTTGAACACTATTTAGAGGACTTTATGATCGTTTTATTGATTATGGAAAAAATGTTTTGAGTATTAGACTTTGGGAAACCCCTTTATCTCGAATTACAAGAACCGTTTCTGGTTTTTCTTTGCATTCTCTATCTGGTTCGTATCAAAATGGTATAAGAGCAACGATTTTGGCAACAATACTGTTCACGATTTTGGTTGGCTTGGTACATAGATTTTCCTGACGAATTATGCATTTTACGGCTACATCTTGGTTTCCTATCAAAATTGAGTAATCTAGTGCAGAAAATGGTCACTAAAAGGGTCGTTTGAATGGATAATTGGTAATCAGCCATACTTTATTTAGGGAAGGTTTCTCTGAATTTATTTCTTGCGCAGGATCTTCTTTATCGGAGGTACAGTTGAAAAAGGTGAAGTGCAGTTTGGACGAGCGCATGTGCTGGTATGTCATTTAAGAGATTGTTCAAGTATTTGAGGGTTTTGTTTTATAATGATTGATTGATTCATTGCCTATTCTGTTTTGTCACATGATGTATGCCTGTAAAACATCAATTTTTGACTTGCATAGAAGCTGCCCTTCTTGTCATTATGACCTTTGCCTTCAATGTTGCTTTGAATTACGAGATGGCAACCTTCAAGGAAACAAGGAAGAGGTTAAGTTTGAATTTAATAATCCAGGTCCTGATTACTTGAATGGGGGGAAACCCCTTAAAGTTAAGAAGGCTGCTGAAGATCCTGCACCAAATGAAAAACAAACTTATGACTGGAAGTCTTTGGATGATGGTAGAATTCCGTGTCCTCCAGAAAGCATGGGTGGTTGTGGACTTGGGATTTTAGAGTTGATGCACGTAAACCAACTTGAAAGTTTTTCAAAATTGTTAGAGGAAGCACAAAAGTTCTTAAAGATGCACAAACTGGAGGATGATATGCGAGATATGCCTGAGAAATGGTGCTCATGTTCAGATGCTGATGGTCAGCAGCTACGTAAAGCTGCTTCTCTTGAAGATTCCAATGACAATTACTTGTATTGTCCACGTGCAATAGACATTAAAACTGGAGATTTGAAGCATTTCCAGTGGCATTGGTCAAAAGGGGAGCCAGTAATAGTCAGTAATGTTCTTGAAACTACACTTGGGTTGAGCTGGGAACCCATGGTTATGTGGTGGGCTTTTCGCCAGGTTACAAATAACAAACATGATAAGCTCTTGGATGTGTCTGCTTTTAATTGTTTAGACTGGTGTGAGGTTGGTTAAGTATGTCGTTTTTTTATATTTAACATTAACTATTAGATTATATGTGTACTCTGTGGTAACTGGTGGATGCATACAGTTTATGCTCGCTTGCAAGATTATATTCTATTATTCTGATATCGAACTCTTTTTCTTAAACACATATATCTCTCCATCTTCTATTGTTATCAGATTGTTTTCCTTCTATGTTAATTAATACTACATTGGAATATATTACATGCCTAATCAACAATTACCATGACATGCAGGTTGATATTAATGTTCATCAATTTTTTTCTTGGTATACGGACGGTCAATATGATAACAAAGGGTGGCCTACGATCCTAAAGTTGAAAGACTGGTTACTATCAAATTTATTTGAGGAACGGTTACCAGGTCATGGTGTTGAATTCATCACTTCCTTACCCTTCAAAGAATATACACATCCACGTGATGGCTACCTTAATTTTGCTGTCAAGTTACCTGAAAATTCTTTGAAGCCAGACATGGGTCCTAGAACCTATATAGCTTATGGTGTTCATCAAGAATTGGGACGTGGGGACTCTGTAACTAAACTTCATTTTGACGAGTCTGATGTGGTATGCTTTTTCTTTATTGATACGCCAAAGTCTTGTGCTTGAAATTTCTTGTTCTGATTTCAGGCAGACCCATGATCATAAGTGTTGGATTTCATCTAGTATATATCTGAAGATTAGAGAAAAGGAAAAACCCCAATCGAAAGTTGTATCTTCAATTCTTCAAAATTATTTAATAGGTACAACAGAAGGCCATCTTTTATAGTTGCCAGACTCATAAGATAAGCAGAAAAATACAAAACTTATCCTACTTTTATAATTATCAATAGATAAACACTGATCAATAAAACAAGGGAAAATTTGTGAAATGACCAAAAAATGGGGTAGTTTGAAAAAAATGATCAAGGATTTAGGAATTTTGGAAAATGACCACGATTTCCGCAGGAGCTCTGTGGAAGGGTAAATCCTCTAAGGAAGGATAAATGCTCTGAGGAAATGACGTGGCAGGGGAAAAAGAACAAAAATTTAGTTGAATGCATGGTTCCGCAGAGGGTGCATCAGTTCCGCAGAGATGCCCGGATCTGTATTCCGATCCTCGTAACTTTTCATACGAGCTTGGAATGAGTTATAGAGACTAAAAAATGGGATGTTGGGGCTGTTTCAGCTAGGGGTGTAATCGAGCCGAGTCGAGTCGAGCACTCCAAGCTCGAAACTCGACTCAGACTAAAAAACTCGAGCTTGAAACTCGGCTTGAAATCGAGCTCGATAAAGTAATCAAGTCTTTCGATCTCGGCTCGACTCGAATAGCTCCTAAAAAATAAAATCACATCAAGTTACAATAGAAATACAATGAAGCCCGTGAGCCCGACTCAGCTAGAATCTATAATATGTAAATATGAAGAAAACAAAGGGTGAAACTGTAAATATAACAATACTCGATTAAGCTCACGAGTTTCATGATCCGAGTATTTCTATACTCGAGCTCGACTCGATAATCTACTCGAGTAGCTCGAGCTCGACTTGATTTAAACCAAGTGAGTCGATTTCGAGTATTTTTCGAGTCTAGTATCTCACGAGTTGGCTTGGCTCAATCACACCCCTAGTTTCAGCCTTTTTTTTTATCTTTTTTTTATTGTTTTACCATATTCCTACCCACATAACTTTTTCATACGCACTTAGAATGAGCTGGTTTTTTCCTTGCAATTTTTTATGCATTCTTGGCTACAAATTAAGCTTGAGAATCAACTTAATTGGATAAGTATTGACTAAGTTATAGAGTTTCAAACATGGATAATCGGGGATCTTCAAAATTTCGATACTGAAGGGTACCGATACCAAACCGGTAGTGGTACGTCTATTCTGTTTGAGACTCGGTACCTTCATCTCAGCCATTTCGGTTGTCATACTTTCGGTTGGTTTAGTATAGATTTCACCCCTATTATGGTGTATAAAGTCTAGGAGGAAAATCAATGTAGACTTCCTCTTCCGGCTCTCTTTTCAAGAATGCATTTTTAACATCAAGTTGATGAAGTTGTCAATCCGTTTGTAGCAAGAGATAATAAGAGACCCAAATGGAGTTGAACTTTGTTTTTGCATAATACAGTTCTTCCCTGAATATTGGTTTTGGGATAGGAAGGTTGGTTTTTCAAGGAATGTGACGTCTATAGTGTGGTACACTTTATGGATTGGGCAATAGCACTTGTACTCACTTTGGTTTAGGGAATACCCAACGAACAAAGGTAGTGCATCCAAGAATTTAAGGGGTATTTGTGATAAGATGCAGGTATGATTGTATGAAGGAACATAGACAGAAGGGAGTCATGTGGTTTGAAATTGTAAGATGCGAGAGGGCAAGCTACTTAGGAACATAGTTGCATGGAAGAAGAGAACAAGCTACTTCTAAGAGGTGATGATTATTCTGGTTCAGCCACCCTTTTGTCGTGGGGTCAACGATCATGAGGTAATTTAGCTAGCCGAATGACTCCATCAGCAGTTGCTGCTTTGATACCAACCCTAACATACATCCAAAGACGAAGTCTAAGTGCCATAGACTTTAGCTAGCCGGCTTTGATACCACTGTTGGGTTATGAGCCTAGCTAAAAGACCAATCAACCCATGAGCTTAGCTAAAAGACCAATCGGGACAGCGTAAGCAAGAATAATTTTCTGGTCTAAGACTCAACAATAGATCTAGCTCAATACAAACATCTATGCAACTTGAAGGACTTAATAAAATGAATTATACCTTTGTGTTCTGCTTCAATTTTTTTGACTTAACCAATTGTCAATTGATTGGACTTGAGAACCCAACGTAGAGTTCCTCTCTTGTAATCGCACCCAAGACGCAACAATCAACAGATCTAAAAGTACCACTGAGAACCAAAATGAAACAAACTCGATCAAAGAAATTTGATCGGCGGTACGACGCGGAAAAAAAAAGCACCGCGACGTGTGGTATCGAACCTTCGGGTTTTTCTAGGGTTTTTCAAGGGTTCCGACTTTTGGAGCTATGAGGCTAAGTTTGCATTATTCCAAAACCGGGATTTGACCCATTTATTTATAGGGAGGTGATTTGAACTCCAACTGATAATTATCTTATAATTTAGTAATTATCTAGATTTTTGGTAATTATCAAAGAATCAAATATTTCTAGAATATTTCATATTCTTCATGTTTTTCTAATTAGTTAATTAAACTATTAATTAATTAACAAAACAAGGCCCTAAAATAAATATTTTTTTCAGTTATGCTTTATTTTGCTTTTTGCGTGTAACCCAAAAGGACACTGCTATTTTTAGTAATATTACTGATTTGTTATGGCTATGGGCACTATTCTTTAACACCAACTCTAAGTTATCATCAAAGCCTACAAGGCCACCAGTGATTCATGTATATAGTAGGCAACGGTGTCCTACATCGGATCCCAATTGAATACCATCTTCTTCTATAGGGCCAAATACTAATGATTCTATTGTTACAAGTGATCAACCATCTTCCGGTACACAAGATCTGACCTTGATGCTCCCATATTCTTAAGGAAAGGTAAGTGTTTGTGTACTTACCCTATAGCCTCTTTTGTAACCTATGGTAAATTGTCTTCAACTTCACGTGTTATGATCTCTACACTTGATGCTATATATGTTCCTAAAACGGTTGGTGAAACTATGAACAATTATGGATGGCGGGATGCTATAATTAACGAGATCAATGCTCTCAATCGTAATAATACATGGGATTTGATAGACTTAGATGCAAGTAAAAAGGCGATTGGTTACAAATGCGTATTCACTATTCATATGGATATGTCTCTTGTCTAAAGGCACTGTTGGTTTCTAAAGGATATGCTCAATCTTATGGGGTAGACTACTCTAAGACATTCTCTCCTATAGCTAAGGTATCCTCCACCCTTCTATTCATTTCATTAGCTACTAATTATGATTGGCCCTTTCATCAAATGGATGTGAAGAATGCCTTCTTACATGATGATTTACATGAGGAAGTTTATATGAAGGAATCACGAGTTTGTTGCTTAGGGGGAGTATGACAGAGTTTGTAAATTGCATAAATCTTTGTATGGATTAAAGCAATCCCATAGGCTTGGTTCTGACGGTTTAATGTCGTGGTGGTAGAGTTTGGCTTACAAAGAAGCTCTTGTGATTATTTTTTGTTCTTTTTTTCCTCATCTTCTGGATGCCATTTGTCAGTTGTCTATGTTGATGACATTGTGAAAGATTTCCTTGCAACTTGGTTTCAAAGAAAGGACCTAGGTCTTTTAAAATACTTTTTTTTTTGGAATTGAGGTCTCACGTACCTAATCTGTTGTCTCAACGAAAATATTGTTGGGATATTTTGAAGAATTTTGGGATGATCGGAACAAAACCTTGTTTGTCCATAATGATTCCAAATATGAATTTGAAAACATACGATGGAGATCCACTTGAGAACCTAGATAAATAGAAAAAATTATGTGAAGACTTAACTACCTAACAATTACACGTCCAAACATTGCTTTTCCGATGAGTGTTATAAGTCGGTTTATGTCATCTCCATAAACCTCTTATTGGAATGTGGTTACTCATATTTTGAAGTACTTAGAGGGTGCTTCTGGTCATGGCTTTCTCTATCAAAATCACCTTCATAATGCCATCGAAGGGTTATTAAATGTTGACTATGATGGGGACCTTACAAACAAGGGGTTTACTACAGGTAATTGTGTGTTCGTCAAAGGAAATCTAGTTTCATGGAAAATTAAGGTTTTACAAGTCAAGTGTTGAATCTAAATACAGGATATGGCTCATACTACATGCGAGTTGAATCTAAATACTGGGATATGGCTCATACTACATGCGAGTTGATATGGGTACGTAATCTTCTAGCTAAAATTGGGTTTGATCAATCTAAACCAATAAACATGTATTGTGATTATGAGATGACTATCCTTTTTTAGACAATCCTGTGTTTCCCGAAAGGACTAAACATATCGAAAGTTTTCCAAAAGGACTAAACATATCGAAATAAACTGTCATTCCATTTGTGAAAAGCTAGAAGATGGAACTAGGGTTGTTCATTATTTGGATAAAACTGAATTGTCCAATTGGACAATTTGGATTTGACTATTTGGTTCAGATATTTGGATTTTTGGATTGGTTTTCAACAAAACCGAATTATTATTTTGGATTTTGGATTGGTTTTGGTTTATAAAATAAGAACCGAATAGTCCAAAAAAACCGAATAAATATTTATTATTTATTTATTTATAATATACATCTATAGTTATTTATTAATTTTGTAATTTATTTTTTCAAATAGGTTCAAAACATTTCACCCGATAAAAAAAACATTAATATGCATTTTCTCTCAAAAGTTTTCTATCTGTAAAATATTTAACTATAATATATCTTCTGAGAAGTTTATAAATTTCAAATCACAACTAAATAATTTGTTTTCGTGTCTTGTGTAAAGTTGGATAATATTATAATTATATGTCGTTTTAAAATGTTTTGGTTTATGAAAACCGAATTATAAAAACCGATCCAACCGAATTGTAATCGGACCGGATTTGAATTTAGTTTCGACTATTCGGATCCATATTTTGAAAACCGAAATCAATTTGGATTCACTTGATTGGATCGGATCAAACCGATCTATCCAAACGAACACCCGTAGATGGAACAAACAGGAAGTCAACCGGCCGATTTCATCACCAAAGCTTTACATGGTTTGCAGATATTTGCTATTTGTAACAAGATGAGCATGATTAACATCTATGATCTAGCTTGAGGGGGAGTGTAAATATTGAACGTATTAGGTTTGGCCTAGTTAGCCCATAGGCCTATAGAGTTTCTTATGATTAGGGTTTCTACATCTATACATAGTCTTGTGTATTCTCCTTTTAAAAGATACACAATGAATAAGGCATTTTAATTCACCCTCAATCTTTTTGTAGTTTACAATTTTCAATTAGTGTCTTGAGCCGGTTGATGTCCGTAGGTCATTAGAGGGACCACTTGGCATTTTAAGGTATCTTAAGGCCATACCAACCTTGCAATGAGTTATTAAGATCCGCTTATTTCCATGTAGGTGCATTTACCAAAGGAGATGGCAGTATATCTAGCTTTTCTAATTTAGATTAGGCTATACAAACAGACTGACTATCAAATTTTTTCATTTGTTGGAGTTAATCTAGCCTTGTGCAAAAACAAAAAACAACACATCGTCTCTTGACCAAGCACCAAGCCCAAAGAAAATCCATGGCAGATTTATCATGCGAAATGACATGGGTAGGGAGACTCCTTAGAAAATTGGGAGTAACCAAGTCCATAATGATGATGAAAATTTAGTGTGGCAGCCAATCAACCATTCATATATCCAAAAATTAAGTATTTCGTGAGAAAACCAGACACGTCGAAGTTGATTGTCACCCAATCACATACCGTGTCGTGGAAGCACATACAATCTCTTTATCAATCCAATCCAACGAGTATGCATCACAACCGTGTACCAACATGCGGATATTTTCACTAACCCTATAAGGAAATGTCAAATTTAATTGTAGCAACTGCTAAAGTATTTGATCCAACTTAAGGAGTACTAGAGATGTACATATATATGAGTTTTAGGATTTTCTTGATTTGTATTTTTTTTCTTTATTTGGGAGAGATTTAGTTTCCTATTGATAGCTGAACATTGCATATAAGCTGTGGTGATTACCTCACCAGTAATACCTACAAATATTTGTCCAAGATTTACAATTTTAATTGAAGGCAAGCTATGAACCTTCTAAACCTGCGTGTAGTTGCATCAGTTGTGCCTATTTTTTCTTTTAATCATATGCGGCAATTAGAAATTTTGCAAACTACTAAGAAAATGCTAAAGCAATGAACCAAGTTACTTTTGAAGGTGAAAACAGTCTTTTAATAGAAATTATTTTATGTGTAGCATCACTTTCCTAAATAGTAATATTCTAAATTGTTTCATTCGTGTTATCTTGGTCCAGGTTATGCACCCAATTCATGACCAAACATTTTACTTAACCATGGAGCATAAAAGGAAGCTCAAGAAAGAGTTTGGTTAGTATGCATTTGCAAGGCGTGAATTAGTTCTCACTGATATAAAATTTATAATTGTGCTCGTTTTTTGGTTATGATCAGGGATTGAAGCATGGAGTTTTGTCCAAAAGCTTGGAGATGCTGTCTTTATACCTGCTGGCTGCGCTCATCAAGTTAGAAATTTAAAGGTTAATAACCTACTACTAGCTTTGTAGATTCCTTTTCACCTCATTGCTTTGCTCCATTTGTCATTAAAAGGGATCAGGGTTTGATGTTGATCACTTTTAGTTCACTAAGCTGTAGACTTCATAATATGGTAGGATTCATTTAAAAAAAAAAAATTGGTCACCCTTTGGATGTTGAGGCTATATGGTTTCTTGATCTTTGAATTCTGTTTGAGGGTTTCTAGTCATCAGAATATTGTTAGCTTGCAGTTGTAATTGCATTGCAGTATTCATTTATGTTGCATGATATAAAGAATACTTCTTTTCTGAAACAAGCATCACTGTTTGATATGTGGTCTTTTGCAGTCATGTATAAAAGTTGCATTAGACTTTGTTTCTCCTGAAAATGTTGGTGAATGCATTCAATTGACAGAGGATTTCCGTGTTCTTCCCCAAAATCATAGGGCTAAAGAAGATAAGTTGGCGGTAAACAATCTCTTCTTACTTTATTGTATGCGTAACATCATTTGGTCAAATCATTATCATAGTTTAAAAACAACATAGAAATTAACTAGGTTCATAATAATATCAGTTTCATTTATTGATTGATTTGTTATAAATTAAAATTGGCAATTGGGTTATGCCACCAATTTACAGGTGAAGAAAATTGCACTTCATGCCATGGAGGCAGCTGTGAAGGACTTGGAAAATTTTGTTCCCAAGTAAGTTCAAACCATTTCCTAGACTAATTTTATCGGCAATCTTGTCCAATCACCTGTCACAAATACAATAAAAAAGAAACTAACCAAAAAAACAAAATTAAAAGAAACACCGAACTAGTTGGCCATTTTTTATACGTTTTACTTTCCATGTGGCTTATTGGTTACTTTACCTTTTTTATGAAACCTTATCTGGTTATCAAAATGAATTTATTTCTATTTTAAAAAAACAAAATACATCAAATTTCTTAATTCTTTCACTATAAGTAGAGCCTGATATTGCCATATTTCCATATACTTCCTCAACTTTTTCTTTCTAACATCTTTGATTTGTACTATGGATCTAACATGTCCAAATTTTTATAGGAACTCTCAATATCTTGAAGACTCCCAAGATTATTTAAAACCTCAATGCTCTGAAAACATAGGGTCTTTTTCGAATCTTAACAAAGGTCTAATCAAAGACAATCTCCAAAGCTCACAAAATACTGAAAATGGTGCAAAAGGTGAAGACGTGGGACTACATATAGATCATGACACAGCATGTGAACGAGGGGACTATTCTGTCCACTCCAATCAAGAAACGCCAGATAGTGGTGGTTCTGCAATTCGCTCTTCTTCAAGTAGAGGCACATCTAATATGGAAGAAGGTAAGGGATCATTGTCTTCTTCGTCTCTTAATGACTTAGTTGCAGAACTCCGTGCCATTAGGGTTACTAGAGACAGCGAGGTTGAAGTCATGAAAAAAAGAGTTGAAGTCATGGAAAAAAGACTTGAATTGAAGCAAAAAAGGGAAGAAAGGAAACTCAAAAAAGAAGAAAGGAAGACTAAGAATTTTTATCTCATGCATCTCAATACACTGTTTGTGAAAGAGCACTTGTCGACAGAAGATGAAGACATCAAACGCCATTTCTTAGCAATGTTGTGTGGGAAGTGATTACAGTTAAGTTTACATGCATTTTCTTGATATTTTGTGCTCATTTACAATAAAAGGACACACGTCTACGATTCCTACTTTTGTCTATCTACCATGTAAGTGTGACATGAACACCAATAACAATACAACATGTGTCATGAGGTCCTCGAAGGGACTTACAAACTGGAAACACTTATAAGTGAAGCAAATATAGCATTAATTTTGTACGTATGAGTTTGACTAAATACAGTTGATTTTGTTGGAAATTAGAATCCCATTTCAGTCAGGAAATTGTAATTGTGAAATAGGTGGCATTACACTCGCAAGTGATTGCTATATTGTGAGATTTCCTACTCAATTGAGTTTTCGAATAGTGTGGGTGATTTATTAGCTCTAGCTGGAAATTTAAGGGAAAAAACAGTATATTGTTGTGTTAAGGTTTGTAATCTATCACAAAGATTGCACATCTAGTGAATTGAAGTGTGTATCGGAGTAGACTGAAGATCATTTTGTATTGTATTTATAATCGTAGTTTAGCATATTTAACGCAAGTTACATTGTGAGTTATTCATAAAATAGAATTTGGCTTGAAACTCATAATCTTATTTTTATAAATCTGAAAATTAGGAGGTACCATATATCATAATGTACTTACGGTAAGGAAGATTATTTGAAGTCTTGCATTGAGATTTGTTTTATGGATTCTTAGCTTCTAAGGTTGCACTTTCCACTTTAAGATCTCGATACATATTCCAATTGAGTACTCCCAATCAATTTTGATTTTCTCCAATTGAATAGTCTTTTATCAATTATGATATTCTCCTTTTAGCACAACGCATGTGTGATTGCAATATATAACTTTTAATCATGTGTGAGTAGGAATAGTAACGGGCTGGATTTTGGTATCCCCGTCCTTGAAACCGCAAAACATTTTACCCTCCGAAACCTCCCGATCCCGATCGGGGATCTATTGGGGATCCCCTATGTGGGTTTGCGGTTTCCCCGATCTCTATTGTGGAGCCTAATAAGGATAACAATGATCATTCCTTGTTTGTATTCCCCGAAAACCGACCATAAATATAAAAGAAAGTATGAAATGATTAGTCATGGAAAGGATGTACCATTTAGTAGAAAATTTTAAACAAACATAAATCTCATAAAAAAAATCAAACATAGACTTCGTCGTAACAAATAGGGATGACAAAAAGAACCAAAAACCATTGGCAAAAGTCAAAAACCAAAGTTTTTGGGTCGAAATTTCTTGTTGGCTTTGGGGATTTTCGTAACACATGCAACTTGGGGCTAGAAGTTTAACCCTTAATTGAAATTAATTATAAAATAAAATCTATATAAACTAATTAAGTAAAAGTAGTTAATTTAATCTTTCAAGTTAGTTAACTAAAAATAATTTAATTAATTAAATATGTGATAAGTTAGGTCAAAAACCTTAAGATTTGGAATTAATGAAGGACACTTGAGTAAATCCATTTAACTAGAATTTGTACTTAATTGTAAGAATTATCATTTAATGTTGAACCATATGATTGGCGATCACCGTCGACACTCCCAAGCTGAAATCGACTATGAAAAAAGGACACGCTTTCCCTAAACAGCCCCGGAGTATTTGTAAATATTGATGCTCAATGATGATTCTGACAAAGATCTTGTGTTGGTATGAACTTTTGTGGGTCTTTTATACTTTGCAATCGTTTTGATTCTTAAATTGTTTTCTTGTTTGATAGTTTGTTGTTTATCCACTTCTCTTACTTTTAAGTTTCATGATGTTCTTTGATGTTTTTGGGAATTTATTCGGATTTAGGGTTGGATTCTGGAATGGGGATGGAGACTAGAAATGGTACTAAAAATTGATGTTTTCAAATAGGGATGGAGTGTAGGAATGGGGTTAAGCTTGTAAATAGTTCTTTAATTGTATTTCTTTATCTACATTGTAAGTAAATTTATTCCTTGGTGAGCTTAACTTGTATTATCAACAAAGGGACATGAGATTGAATACTAATAAAATGTAGATCGAGTAAACTAACCAAATGTTTATGACAACTTGGAGGTAATAACTAACTGTAACATCCAGTTTTAGGATGTTTCTTATTTCGAGATTTTGGACCGTAGCTCGATCATGTGAAGGCCTTGGGCTTTAAGGAAATAAGGTTTAGACCTTGTTGGCTATTGATAATATTAGTTATGTGAGCTAATCCATTGATTTGTGTTTTGGAGCCAAGGGTAAAATGGGAAAAGCGATGCTTCAGACTTCTTGCATGAATTAATTATTTTAGTTCAATATGTTTTAAGTCAAAAGTAATTAGATAGGGTTGTGGGGCTCGTCAATACCTTTCCGTACATATAAAGATCGCCGAAAACAGAGTTGAATGAAGTTATGACAGTTTAAAGCTAGAATGGATTTGGGGGAAAACCGTCGCCACGGAGTGGAGATCAGATCTCCACGGCGTGGTAGTTGCCACGGAGTGGAGAAACGTTGCCATGGAGTGGCAGTCTATCAGACCCAAGCCCATGATTTTTAGGGTTTTCAACATATTTAAGCATAAGATTATGACTTTTTGGCCCTTTTATGAGCTCTAGAACTCCTTAGGAGAAACCCTACCCTCCATCTTCAAGATTTGAGCTCCTCCCCTCTCCCCTCTCGTCTTTTGGATGCTTTTTATGATATTTTGATGAAGCTTAAAGATTAATCAAGAAGGTTCTTTTGGTTGCAAGAAATGATGTCTCAAGTTTGGATCCATCAAAGGCACTATGTTTTTGGACTATTGTGAGTATAAAGTTCCAATCTTCCTCTTTAGTTCTTTAGATCTCTTCATTTGTGGTGTTTGGCACTTTTGGTCCATTTTATGAGTGATCATGGAGTTGAGTGGACTCTAACATCTTTTAATAAGTTTAGAACGCTTCTCGGACCTTATGTACTAGGAAAATTATGATCTTTTGCCTTCCCTTTTATCCATGCAAGTTATCTTGGTCCTTTAGGTCATTTTGGTGCATTAAAGTTTAGATCTTAAAAGCTTGAGACATTATTATGGATAAATTTGGAAACTTTATCCATCTAAACACCATGTTGATTCATATCTAAAGGCTGGAGACTTGGACTTAATGGATTAAGTGGAGAAAGATGCATTGTTGGTCCCTTTAAGACTTAAAGTCTAGATCTTAGTGGTTTGGACCATCCTAATGGATAAAGTTGGAAACTTTATCCATTATGAAGCTATTAGGAATCATATATGATGTTTTAAGCTTTGGTTCTTATGGATTAAGTTCTTATTGAAGAAAAGCTTTTTCTGACTAGAAACCACGGTGTGGCCAAGGTAGGCTCACAGCATGGTGGCGAGACTTATCATGTCTGTTTTGTCCGGACGTGGCCACGATGTGTTCATGGGTTGGCCACGACGTAGGCTTCAACTGCACTTGATTTTTGACCGTTGAATTTTTGACAAGTTTGACTTTTGGTCAAACTTGGGTGGAATTGAGTATTTGACTAAGGGCTAGTCTTGGTTTGGCTTTAGGAAGTTTGGGTTGGCCGTTCTATTACTGAGGTAGCTGTGGGGATTTTATTGAAGTAGTTCAGGTGAGTCTTCTCATTGTACTTGTGGGTCGAAGGCACTAATGTCGGCCCATTGGATTGTGTTATGTAGGATGCTAGTTGTCTTTATGATACTTTCATGGGAGACCCCGGGGCTAGCCCGTGACATATGTTTGAAAGACCATGGGGGTAGCCCATGACACTTGTGTGTAAGACATTGGGGTAGCCAAGGCACTGCAAGGGAAGACCATGGGGGCAGCCCATGGTAATGGTATGAAAGACCATAGGGGTGGCCCATGACACTTGTATGCAAGACCATGGGGGTATCCCATGGTAATGTATGTATGTTATATGGTATTTTAGGGAACTCACTAAGTTTTGTGCTTATGGTTTGTGGTTTGAAATGTTTTCGGGTACTTTTGATTTCAAAAGGAAGGGACCGGCTTGATCGCACTGCATCCCCTGGAGATTTATTTATGTAGGATCCCATGGAAGATGACAAATGCGAAATTGAAGAATCATTGCATAATCGATAACATCCGATCTAAAGTTTAATCACAATTTGGATAAAGTACAAAACATGTAGAAGCATGTACTTTCTTACTACACTACTATCTCTCTCTAGAACTAGACTATAAATCTATACAATGAGAGCTCTCTCAAACCTATACATGGTATACTATACAAGTATATATAGGCAAGCTCAACCCATAACCCATATCACAAAGGGAAAGCCTAAGACACCATCCAATGAAGAGCTTTGCACCCTAACAATTTCTCATTGACTGTTTATGATCTTACTCTGATGTTGTAAGAATACTTTTACTCTGATCGTCTTTTGAAACAATGAATGAATGGTTTTGACTTATTTTAAAATGAACTTTTTACTTGGTAATTTTAGGACGTTACACTAATATTTTAGTTTTTATGCAAAATGAACAACTTCTCCAGAATATTGACTTTGGAATAGAGTTATCCAGCCAACTCATTCCATGTTGGGTCCGGACTGAATGCCCAGTACATATAGCATTTTGGAATGTATGTTGAAATATCTTCATACTTTGGAGAAAGAATAACATATGATTTCGATGAGTTGGAGGTTATATGGGTTAGTTCTTTGTTCCTTTACTTGTACTTGTTTAATTTTTACTTTTACCTACAAAACTATAGTCCAAAATACAAAGAACGTGTCTAGAGTCGAAGAACAACTCCGAAATGTAGAGTTAATTCATATTAGCCTTAGGTAGCTAATTATTTAGTGTTAGTAATGACCCAAAAACATTAAATATATATATATATATATATATATATATATATATATATATATATATATATATATATATATAAGTAGTTAGGTTAACAATAACAGTCTACTTGACACTCCAGAATGTTCGTATTCCTGAATACGAAGTACTAGTTCGGAATACGAAGAACAAGTTTGGCATGTGTAGAACAGTCTAAAATGGAACGATAAAAA